TCAGACTTGCTGGCAAGTGTGTTTACTTGCTAAGCCATCTCACCGGCCCTTTAAAACCAACAACCAAAAAATGGAAACAAGACAAAAACCAGTTCAAGTATTTCATCTGCATTAGAGAAACTGGCACACCACAGGCACGAGCTCAGTCCTTCATGGATCATTAGATATGTATTCGTGCTGCACACTTTAAATACCACCTTCCAGAGGGTGCATGCAGGGTCCAAGGCTGTTCCCAAGGCCCCTGGGGTGGATCCCACGGGGTGGACCTAATGGTGAAGAGAGTAGGAACAAAGCAGGGCTGAGGGTTCGACAGGATCTATGCTCACAAAAGCCCCCGACAGCTCAGAACCAGAACTAGTCTAGGCTGGTTCCCACATCTCTGCAGCCACTTTGATGGAGGCTCAGGCTGGGTGAGGAATGAACTACACAGAGACCTGTAGGGGAGTCTCTTCCTAAGTGTGATTTTTCAGTGTTTGTATAATTAGCTGGGTGAGGTGGCTCACACTTGTCAGCATAGCTCTGGGGAAGTGTGGCAGAAGATTCAGGTCAAGGTGACACAGGGAGTTCCAGACTAGCACAACCAATATGAGTCTGCGATTTGCATTTTAAAATGTACCCTCTTTATGAGTCTATAATAATTGCATAAAATACTGGCTTGTGGGCCAGTGAGCTGGCTATATGGGGAGAAGTGATTGCCCCCAAGCCTGATGACCTGAGATCGATCCCAAGGACCCACATGGGAGAAGGAGAGAACTGACTCCCACAGGTTGCGCTCTGACTTCTACGTTTGCATTCGACATGCCCAACACACCTTCCACACATATAAACAAATAAATGCAGTAACGGAAACATTTTTTTTAAAGTATCAGGTTGCATGATGGCATTTTCACATATGGAAAAGGTCAGTCTTCACCATGCTCCTCGGCTCTGACAACACAGCTGACAGGAAGCATCTTAAGGGAGGAAGGCTTATGTGGCTCCTGTTAGAGAGGATGCAGCCCAGCAGGGTGGAGAAGGTGTGGCCACAGGGGCTGCAGTCAGCTGACCTCAGGCATCCACAGTCTGACACAGAGAGAGGTGCATGCTGGGGCTCAGCTTTATTTCATCCCTTTGTCTTTTTATTCAGTTCTGGACCCCAGCCCGTGAGATGGCCATGTCTACATCCAAGGTGAGTCTTGCTCCCTCAGGTAACCCTCTCTAGAAACTGTCTCAGGGATATACTTAACCTTGGGCCTCACTAATGCCCCAGATGTTTTCAATCCAAGCAAGCAGGCAACTGAAATTGACCCTCACAAGGGCTTCCAGCATATTGCTCCCCCCTATTACCCATAGTTTTTGTTTTGTTTTCCTTAAGTCATGCCATATTGGTGGGTATCAGAACTTTTTAGTAAAGTTGTGCAGTTGGAATAAGTATAATAAAACACAAGTCTCTGGATATTGTTGTACATGTCTTTAGTTCCAGTCTCAGCAGGCAGAGATAGATGGATATCTGTGAGTTTGAGGCCAGCCTGTTCTACATAGTGTGTTCCGGGAAAGCCAGGTCTCTGTAGAGAGACTCTATCTAAAAATAAATAATAAATACAT